AAATATTTCATCCTTGGGAAAAAAGGGCAATAACTGACAACAAACCCAAATGAACATTATTATTCTGAATAAATAACAGACACACAATTGCCGTGAGACATGGAAAAAACAAAGTTACATACAGAATTATCTTCATGGATTGTGTTTACATAAACTTCTGTTCCATTAGAGTCAGCTACAATATCTGCTTGCATTTAGAGTGTAACGTGTGTACATTCACTAGGCTTTTAGTCTCAAACTAACAATGTTACAAAGTCCATTGAGTCATTAATTACCCTTTTTACTATCTCTAAGAAGTCAATCAATAATGATGAAATTGGACTAATGACATCAAATACAATTCTGCGCTCGTGGTATTGAACTGTCCATTCAACAGAGTAACTCCTTCTTCCACATATAACGTTTTGTGTCATATGGGGATTCGCACAAAATTGGGAAAAACAATGTCCTCAAAAATAAGTAAACAGGAATTTTAAATCCAATAAGAACCAAAATAAAATCCACATACCTTGAATACATTATGAGCATAATAAATTGCTTATACCACCTGGTGCCATGACCTGACTAGTGAACCCCATCTCTTGTTCACCTCCATCATTGAAAGAGTGAATTGTAACATGTGACAAAAATATAGCTTAGTTTGTTCCTGTTTATTTCACACTTTACTCCTTGATGGAGCTCGGAAAACAATCTCCTAAACTATCTTTTAAATCCCATCAAATAAATGTCAATGATTTTAATTAATCTTATTTTGTTTAACAAAACAACAGCTTTACAGGCATTGGAAGTCATGGAATGGACCTCAAAAGCCACAGACATTGTCTGAGTGTCTTGAAATTTGGCAGAATTCTCACCATAACACTGTTGGCCAATGCATTAAAACATTATGCCCAATGCTTGACCAAGATATATCTTATATGAGAGAAACAGATTAAATAATTCAAATCTGTTGGCATGGTGCCCAAATTAAAGAAGCATGTCAAATTCCTGTGTTAAAAAATTATTCAGTAGCACATCTTGTATGATTTCCTTCAAAAAATTACAACAGAAGGAAAAAATAAATACTAATCACTGACGCAAACAAGGTCACAGTCAAACCGGAGTATAATTTGAGCTATAAGAAATGTCATGTTGAATAAAAAAGGAAACATAGTTTCTGAGTTTGAATTCATTTGTCATTAAAACAATACTAGTAAACAGTAGGTATAGTTTTCGAGTTTATAAAATAAGACACACTTTGCAGGTTCAATACTGATGTGAACTTAAATTTCTCTGTTTTCTTTTCAATGGCATGCAGCCGATATGCAATTTCGCCTCGCCATTATCGAAAATTATACAGACATACCCTCTCAAGAAATTGCTACGACAAGCAGAAACTCAGAAAAAAAAGTAAAATCTGGCGAGCTCCTCTAAAGTTGAAAATTAAAACCGAGAAGCGGTGGCAAGACTTCGCGTAAAACGTGGCCGATACGAAACAATTTGAGACACAATTTGTTATTTTTAGACGTGGATAACGTGTTATGATAAGCCTTCATTAAAAATATATGTTGTTACGGCTTATGTCCCATGCGTACTTACATCAGGGGTCTCTTAGAGAATCAATGAAAACGTTAGAACATATCCAAAACAAAAAGGAATATTCCTTGCCTAGAGTTTGGTTCATAGGCTAAATCCCATTTATACCTTGAAAAAGACATAGCGAGCAATCCAGTGATATAGGGTGAGAACTCAAAGTCGCGAGGGATTTTATTTCACTGGCTGTCGCTTCCCTAGAAACAGTTATAAATGCACAAGTAGACACCAGTAAAGAGAGCTATCTTCTCACGCAAAAATCCTGAAACCTGACGTTAAATATGCGAAACTACCCGAAAAACGACGTTGAAAGTAACGAATAATAGTTATCGCATTAAGCCATTTCGGGTATTAAATATAAGCTCACTTTGACGAACCAAGGTATTCTTCCAGCACTTTACTGTCGAAGACTAGTACGAACTTTGCGTTGATAAGTTCACGCAAGGCTCACAACTTTTCCGAACCAGAGACAAAATTCTTGGTCTCTAAACGAATGGAACCGATAAAACGGTCGATTTATCCATTTTACTCATAAAAAAGTTTCTACATAGCTTAAATATTTGGGATGAAGCTCAAACGGAAGAATGGAGCGAGTATGGTTGGAAACGATGCACGTTAGACAACCTTTACTTGAGCTTCAAAGCAATCGCGATAGTTTTGGCTTGAAGATAGAAAGTAGAAATCACATATAAAATATTGGAACGCACTTTAATGGACAATCTACTCCGTTTAAATCGTGTACATCGCCAGTAATGAGTGAATTCCATAAAAAATAGCATTAATACTTGGGGATAATAGACATACACATAGTATTGCAGAACGCCGCGAGATCAGAAACTCTTTTCGCCGAAGAAGCGGCCATTTGCCTTAAAAAGAAACTGTAAGATGTTCGAATGATGATTCTGCAAGCCATATGGAGCAAATGACCGCTTGCGCTTCGGGAAAATACAATCGAAAACTAGGTTCGACCTACATACTTGCTACGGTTCGCTAACCGCTGTATTTATTACTTACCTATCTCGCGGATCGACCCATGAAGTTCGTTTAGTGTTGTGATCGATGTAATAAATTCTTCCATCGAAGTCTTTCGCTTCTTCCCAACCTAGTGGAAGCGGTACTTCGCATGTTTTCTTCTTTGGCATGGCGTTTCAGCCACACTTTGCAACCCTACTCATCTACCAGCGTCCATGTTTAGCTCACTGTGGTCACACTACAGCGGTTTCTCGATGATTTGAATTCGTCAATTTCGCGGCCATGTCAGTTTCATTAGCATTGTCCCATAGTTGAAATTCCGTGTCACACATTAAACCACAAATCCCGCTAAAACGAGGGCCAAATTCATAAAAACCCGTAAGATTTCGCCTCCATATGCATGCGAGCCCTCTAAATTATTTCGAGTCAGTCTAGTATTTGGACAATTTATTTTCCTGCAGATCGACGTGTTTGATATATGCATTGTTTGAGCAAATAAACCAATAAGAAGCTTGCTCTTATAATAGCGCTCGATATATTATATGCGGTTAAAATCTTTGGAATACTTTGCCTATGTAATTCTCCGCCCCTGTTGTGTGGTAATTGTTACGAGACAAGCTTGATTGGTCTATTGGATTGCGCGCTATTATTGTCTTAGATTTTGACAGCTCTCTTGTGCCATCTGCAAAAAATTCCGCGCGTGCAGAAAATTTCGCGCTGACAAGTCATGCCGGAATGCACTCTAAGAGCTTTATCTCGCGTGTCATCAGCAATGAAAGACGTTTTACAACGCAATTTCTTCTGTCCTCGTAAACATTGAACTTTATTAAAAAAAGTAAGATTCTTTGTCTTTTTCATTCTTTTATCTAACTTTCCATCGTGGCACGAGCTTGCATCACTCACCCCCCAAGGGAAATAAGAAACTTCCCTGGAATTTTTCATGTGATTACTATTTTCTTAGAATTAGAAAGCACGAGATATATTGGTCCCACTGAAAAGTGCAGAACCTATCGAGTATCACTCACTTTAGCCTAGTACTCTAAAAAAGATAAAGAAACCTCTTGATGATAAACTTCAAAGTTTAACCGCACGTTCCGATCATGTTTTGAAACATTACACCAGTGAGAAAAGTCATGAAAGCATTTAATGATATCATTTGGAACTTTAGACCTTGAAAACAGTTCTGTTTCATGAACAGGAGGAATACTTGCAACGATTCTTGTGTCAAAAACAGTGTTAACGTCGCTCAGGAAATGATATAAATAGTTACATATCCTTCTTGCAAAAATTCCTTCGTTTCTTTAATCATCAAGGGTCACTTGGGGTCAGGCCGGCCGGAACATTCGATCAAAACAATTCCTCAGTTCTCTCTCTTTGACCTCATCTCGCGCGAGTACTGGGGAAATTCAAGAATTCGTCCACCACTTCCGGTGCGAAATGCAGTACGTGATATCCAATGAAGCGTATGTGACGAAGATGGAGGCCTATGGGCGTGAACAGGCAGTAGCTGAGGAAATAATAGATCTCAAAGCCTGAATTCCTACAATTTTCCTTTTTCACCATCATTTAAAAAAAAAACGTTCCCCTTTTCCTTATTTGAAGACTGGACGGAATAGTGCTTTGATTTTTTTCACTGTGTACCTGTCCTCTATAAAAAAAGAGTTTACACATTGGAACATGGATAAGAGGTTGACATAACCTCCTAAAGTGGTAGTCCTAGAATTTGAGATTAACTTGAGAAAAGGCAGTTCAACTTAACCCTAGCCTACAACTCTTAAGATGTAATGATTGATTCTCTTCTTTGGCCACAACACATTTCTATGTAAATTAATTGTGAGAATTTGGTGCTAGATCAAGATAAAAATTTTACCGATAAGTTTGTGTATTCTCATTACCTTTTTATTGGATAATATATGGATATTAAAGGGAGAAGTTACATGTTAATCTCTTCTGGGAGTTAAAGAATTAACCAAGTCAAGAAAAACAATTGTGTGTAAACAAAATTTGTTAATTCTGTACTGATTTTACTCATTCACATAGTCTTCAGGCTTGTTTGAGAGTTCTGCAAGTTTTTCACCATAATATATTGTAATTAAGTCTTAAACCACTGTGTTAGTTTTGACTCAACTTCCCTGAATTTGATCTCCACCAATATAATAGCCTTGCTTGTCAGGTCATGTCCTTTTCTTCGAACATTTTTGTTTTTAGTCAACCCCTTCTAAATCATTAACAGTTTCACAGTGTTTCAATTTTATATTTCACTGAAAATAACATGCTAGTTAGCTCAGTTGGTAGAGCACTGCACCAGTATCACAGAGGTCATGGATTCAAATCCTGTACAGGCCTGAATTCTTTTCTGGCTTTTTTTTAACTACTGCTTAAGTAGTGTTCATCACTACTAAGATTGCTTTCGTATTAATTTCTTAATCCACACTTCATGTATATGATTTCATATATTCACAGTTGTTAAATTATATGTATGTGACATATTTTTAATACCAACATCAGAGCAAATCAACGTTTTTTAAAACATGGATAAGGGTAAGATTTTTCCTTTACAGCCACTCGTCCAGCTCGAAGTTCATGAGGAATTCAAAATCTCTGTAACTCACTCTCCCATCTCGGTCCATATCTGCCTCATGAAACAGCTTCTCTATGGTAACAGAGTCTAAAAAGGGTGCAACATGTTGAAATATCCTCTTAGCAATATCTAATGTGATAAAACCATAGCACATGGCATCAAATGCAATAAACATCTGACGAATTTCGTCATTGTTATCTTCTGCCAAAATCTTCCTTTTTGCTATCTCTGTGAAATGTTCCAAAGACATATGGTTGTGATCAGAGGTTTTTTCACCCCCAAAGGCCTTTGGTTTTGTAGCTAGGGGTTGATCACCAGGTGATAAAGTGTTGACTCTGGAAACCGCAGTTTGTGTTTTGCCCATGAGTTGTGCTACTTCATTTTTGGATGGCTTATACCCAAAAAGGGACACAAATGCCACTTTGAGATCCTCACTAGACAAAAATCCTTTGCCCTCTTCATCTGCATCATGGAAAGTTTGTACAATTTGACTCAGTCTGTCTTCTGTGATATGCCTCAAGGATTTTCTAAGTGGCAACTTAGGAATGTAGTTTTCCATGTCACTATAGACACTGACTTGCAGTTGTAAATATCTGAAAGAGTAGAAAATTATATCAGATAACACTCTTAGCGTATGAGCAGAGCCAAGCTGTCTTTGGGGCTGCTTCACGAGCATCTTGCTTTTTTTCTTTTCCCATATTGTAATGTATTTTTATGTGATTATGAATAATAGGGTAATACAGAAATCTTACCTTAGATTTTTATAAACTGGCTCGCAAAGACTAGCAATAAATACCAGTGGGCTAGGAGAAAGCAACTCAGAGAAATGCATAAGTTACCTGAAAGTAGTTACATATACCCATACAACAATACACAGCATTACCCGCCATTTTTTAATCACCATAAGCTTGAGTGGCCAAGCCTTATTCTCACTCTTACTTAGTCTCTCCGCTTCCTTTGAACACAACAGAGTCTAAGCGATGCCATCCGAAGGTGCCTACACTTTAACTCTGATATTTTGCCACAAGCGATTCTTGATCAGCAGCTATTTTGATAGAGTACCAAAAGAAGCCCTAACAAACAGTTTCTCTCTATTCTCCAGGTGTTGAAGTGTTTTCGAATCCCCTGGCTCCTCCGTCCTCTTCGGGCTCCTACACATCTCATCATGGCGGAGGGTACGTGGCGTGAACTAAGTTTTTTCTATGTGGCTTAACTATTATCATCATTTATCCATAGGCTGTTTTCTGTAACATATTAGCAGCAACACCACAAAGTACAACGGTAGCTTATGAATTTTTGCCTCTTGATATCTATAAAATTATGGAAATCTTCGATCAAGAAAAGCTCAGTGCATGGTTTGGATCACGGACGCTAACACGAAACTTTTATAAATACCCAACAATTCTCAGATATTCACCACCCTTTTTGCCTCGATAGATTTAGGAAATTCTTGAATAGTTAATTCTACCAGATGAAGATCTGAATCAGTGAATCGAGGAATTATGCGAAGAACGATTTGTTTGAAAATATTTAGGGTGTCTGCAGCTGCTTTGACGAATGAAGATTTTCGTAAACTTTTGATGACCCCTCGTTCTGGGGTGCCATCTGTAGCTCCACCGTCGACAAAGTCATCAAGTCACAGCAGTAAAAGTGTACCAAGCAGTATCTATTCACATCGTAGCAGCAGGTGAGCGGTCTATACTTGGTGTGTTAATATATATAAACAAATGAACTTGTGGTATATAAATTTTGAGGGTTTTCAACTTTTTTCAGTTAACCCGTGGGAAGCTGTTCAAACGAAAACTTAGAAAATGCCAATCTGAAAAGTTAAACTGACCAGCAAAATTTTTAATGCCACATGTAGTGATGAGGAAGTAAAGTGTGATGTCACATGTAAATTAAGTCCTAGTCATAGGATTAATTAAAAGCCTGCAAGCAACAGCTGCTGTAAGTAGTTGGTTTTAGGATATTCCGAAGATATTTACACAGCAAAAACAATGCATTCTTAATTTGTCTTTAGGATCCCACCAGAACTTTTGTATTTGTTCAATTTTTTAGAATAATATAGAAACAACCCTTAAACTCGCAGGTCAAATTTGTAATTCTCCTTACTGTCAACTATACAGTTCTTATAATGTTACTTCAGAGAATTAAGTATTGGATCAACTTACTATACCTAAATTGATATCCCCTGGTAACTCAAGCAAGATCTGATTTCTGTTGATGCATTTTTCAGTCATTCAGTCTCAGTTAACATGAACACCTACTTACTCAAACAATTTTTTGTTTCCCTTGGAAATTCAAGTTAAAGGGGTTCTACTGTATTTTGTCAAACAATACCAATGCATTTATAAGAAAATAGGAAAAGAAGTAAGGACAAAAATATTATATAAGTGAGGTTACAAACCTTGTTTTATTTTGAACCAAATCATCTTTCAAAACCATGTTAGGAAATACATGGTATCCAGAAAGAATAATTCCAATTTAGATCCTTGGAGTTTATAGATAATAAAAGATTAAATTTCACACCTACCTTCTTAAACAGAGATGATGATGATGATGATGATGGTGACGTTGAAGGAGATGATGATGATCCATGGTCAAGAAGGAGGAAAAAGAAGAAGTAAGTGGAGTCAATTAAATACAGTGTTCTCCTTGTACCTAGTAATAAACTAGGACAAAATTGCCAAAGGGGTAAGTTTCTAAAGAAATTCTGGTGCTATGTAGTTTTCTTTTTGGGGGAGGAGGGGGTGTTATATAATAAGTTGGTTATAATGTGAATTGTGTTGGTCAGCACAAAGAGATTCTAAAGCTGACATGTAGAATGTTAACCCTTTGTCAGAGGAAATTCATTATTGTCTCAATTTGTGTTTTAACATCCTCCTCTTGTCTAGATATTATGCAAAACTCAAGAAAATGGAGGAGGAAAGAGAGCAGGAGCTTGCAAGTAAATACAGAGATAGAGTGAGTAATGGTGAATCTCGTTTAGAAGGAGCATCTGTCTAATCCCATAATGTAAAAAAAATTGTGTTTTGCTTGATCTCCTGTTGTAAATCTTATAATTTACAATGGGAATTGTGGTTGGTCAAGTAACAGGGTCCTTCTCTACTTCAGCATCTGTTGCCAAAAGCTGTAAGTTTTGATCTATTGCCAGTATTTCTGAGCTGTACTTGGTTTGTCTCACTATTCTTGTCTCCCTAAGCCAATTTGTAATTTAAAGTAGATCCTCATTTTTCCCCTTTGGTTTATGGTGACTTACCATGCTTTTTGGTCCTGTATCAATACAGATAAAAACTGGATCATTTTCATAATTGTAAGTTACTGAGCTAAGAAAAGGTAGTGAGACTGGATTTTGTTTTATCTTACTTTGCTTTTTGTTGTTGTTGTTGTTATTTTTAAGGCAAGGGAACGACGAGATGGTCTGAATCCTGACTACCAATCAACAGACACCCTAAGTGCAACAGCCAATTACAGAGCAGTTGGTCCCACAGCAGAGGCAACGTAAGACTGGAAAGCTTTTAATTCTGATATATGTTTTTCAGATAGTGTGTGTCCTACTTCATGAATCCTGTTTCATGAGTCCTGTTTTATAACATTTCAAAATAGCAGGTTTTAATAATTTTTATTGACATATATCACAGCTTGATTTTTTCCTGGTAAATTTTTTATAATTTATATTTGTACAGAGAAAAAAAATCTGTTTGTGCAAACCTTATTATCATACATTGCTGTGCTGTATATTTAGAGCAAAGAAAAAAAAAATATTAAATCAAAGACAAAACATAACCAGATCATATTTAAGGTCAGAGCTGGTGCTCTGCCAGTAGGGATTATCGGACATAATGCTTGTTGTTCTCTGATGAGTCGGATTTTTAACTGTTCACATATCCCACTACAGGAACACTGCAGCAGAGCGCCGTCGCCAAGCTATCCAGGAGAGTAAGTTTCTTGGTGGTGACATGGAGCACACTCATCTTGTGAAAGGCCTTGACTTTGCCTTGTTACAGAAGGTGAGTTTATAGGGTCCACTATTTACTCTAAATTTTACAATAAGAATAAAGGGGTTAAGTTTCTAAAGGGAAAGGGGATATAACAAGATAATTTGGTTTAATCAACTGAGTTGAAAATGTGAGTTGGCCAATGTATAGAGTTTGTAAAGCTGAAATTTTGAGTGTTAGCACTTTGCTAGAGAAAAAGCCCTTTATCCCTTGCTTTGAGGAAGGGTTGATACTCAAAATGTCAGCTCTTATTTACCATATTTCTGGATAAGGAGCAAGTTTGCTTTATGCTGGGCATTAGCATTTTAAGGAGTTATATGTACTGATTTACTGATAGTCTAGTCTGGAGTTATGCTGGTTTAGGATATTTGTTTACAAGCTTTGTCAGAGTTAGCAGGAGAATAGCCTTAGACTAAGTGTACAATAACAATACAATATTCTTCACACATGAGAAAATAAAGAAAACCTCAGACAATGAAAATTTTCCTCAACATTCTACATAGTAGCCTAAAATCCCTGCCAAATTTCAATACTTGTGGTTGTTCACTTAATCAGAAGTATTCCTAGGGAGGTTATTCAATCCCTATGCCTTTGCTTATTCTGCTTGGCCTTTGTAGCATTTGGCTGTTGGCACAGGGAACCCAAGTTCTAACTGCAAGATGGGTTTAAAATTTTTTTCTTGCAATGACCATTGTTTCTTACCGTGTTTTTTTGGTTTATTTAGGTTCGTAGTGAAATTGCAGAGGAAGATGAGGAAAATGAGGAGCTGAGTGTTAAAAAACCAAAAAACAAACAAAGGGACAAGTATGTACAATACTAGTTTGTGGCCTTGGTCATTTCAGAATGAACAAAAATTTGTTATCTTTACTTATATTTGGGTAGAAAGCTCAAATCTATTCAGAAATACTTGGGTCTGATTCTTTTTGTTTGTCTACAGGGAAGAAGAAGATGATGCAAATGAGATTGAGTTTACTACAAAACTGGGTAAACTATTGATTATTGCTTCATGTTATGGGGATGTTGATCCTTAGTCTGAATGTGCAGTGAGAGGAGTGTTGTCAGTGATGTTGATGTACACCTAAACAACTTATCAGAAGTCATCAACAGAGTTGTAAGAAGTTCTTTTTTAAGTCGCAAGTCTAGATTACTTGTGCTCAGGACGTGATTTGGAAACACCAATCATATTGTAACCATCAACACTCCTTTTTTCTACTGAAAGTGTCCAAACAGCTTCTTGCAGAAAGAAACCTATATTTTTGTTGAAAAAACTTCTGTCAATTATTTTTGGTCCACAGGTCAAAAGATCTACAAATCCCTGTTCAGAAATCGCCCAGCAGATAGAAATGAACTATTTCAGCCAGGGCGAATGGTATTGATAACTTAACTACTGATTCAGTCACTGTAGTTCATTGACTTTGTTTCAATTTTGTGGACAGCTTAGTTAGTAGAGCAATGAGAAGGTTTATTTTCAGTTATTACTTCACACTGACTGGCCATACAAATGCTATAAATGTACTCGACTAAAAGGCCCATTGGTGGGGGAGGGAAGGGGGCTAACTGATTAATTTATTGATTAATTGTTTTTGGGCTTCTAAGCTGGGTGATCATGAGAAAGAAATACTCATTAGGGATACGTTGAGGCCTAGTTTAAGCTCACTGATAACCACAAGGTCAGCCATTGCTTTCTTTTCAACTTTTTCTATAAAGCTTGTAGCTTAGCGGTTGGAAAAACCTGCTGCAAAATATTTCAAATGAAACTACTGCAAGCCTCTAATTACATTAATTGCCTTGAAGTGAAACCTACAGTAGCTTGTTAAATTTAATAGAAAAAGTACAGTATAACATCCTTATTTTGCCTGTTTTTTTTTAGTTTTCTGTAGGGGAAGGGATGGGGGAGGGAATGACTCATTAGAGGACAGTTGTGATGGGACATCATTGTAAACTGAATTTTCCTTCGTTTAATTTAGGCTTACGTGTTTGACATTGAAGATGAATATGCTGAAAGTGATATACCCACAACTCTTATTAGGAGTAAAGCAGATTGCCCTGGAATTGAAGTAAGTCATATCATTGAAATCATTTCCTCTCATTTTGTGATGTTATGGTAAAGGAGTTTAAGGAGTTTGGATACAGTGTTATACACCCATTTGAAATGATTGAAGGAAGCTTGAAGAAATCTCCTGAAAACTAAAATACAGGCTATTGTGATCCAATGTATTTAAAGAAACACATCATATGCCATACCAGGATGAAATATCTTGTGTCTTTACAGTTAAGTTTCCATTATTTTTTTTTTCTAGACTCAAGCTACACTCACCACCAATGACATTGTCATCAACAAATTGACCCAGATTTTGTTGTACTTACGCCAAGGCACCAGAGGAGGGAAAAAGATCAAGAAGAAAGATAAAGGTATCTTGCCCTCCACACACAACCCTTTAACTCCCAGACCAAATTTGTAATTCTCTTTACTGTTGACCATACAATTCTTATTATGTTAGTTTGGAGAATTTAGTATTGGATCAACTAACTATCCCCAAATTGATAGTTTTCTCCATTCTCATTACTTGCCTGGTTGACATTGTATTGATATTGTAAGGAGAAATTCTGTCTTAGTCACTCATAGGAGTTAAAGGGTTAAACATTGGTACTCATATTCTCCCCACTGTCCTCTTTTATGTTACCTCTCATTTCCATTACTCTCATGACCTCAATGTTTGATTCAGGGTGGATATTGTAAGGGAAATTTTATGCCAGTCACTCTTGGGACTTTAAGGGTTACACTTGCACTGTCATATGAAGGATTGCATGTCTTGTATTTTGGAAAGCACACAGGACTGTCAAACTCAGGTAGCATTATAAGTTTCAGTGAATGATGATATCCTCTAAAATGCTGTCATGCTGAAGAGGTGACCCATTAAAAAAGCAAAATATGGTAGACCTTTGCAGATTAATTTTCAACTTGTATCAACACTGCATTTTTTCTATTTAAATTTAAGTTTTGTAAATACCAGTTACTTTGAATAGTCCATATACATTTTGAATCTTTTAAAGGATTTGAGATACTTTTAATAACAAGTTTCTAATCTATTCCATGTGTAGTAAAGGAGAAGGACAAGAATGACAAACAAGGACAGAGGATACGCGCTCCTGAAGCTGATGATAGGTGAGAGCTGATAATGAGTGGATGTTTTAAGAATATTACATAATGTAGCTTAACAACTGTGTTGCTAAGTGGAGGTTAGGTGCCTGAAACATCCAGGAGCTTCCACTATTGGCAGCCAGCTCTTAGATGGCTGGCAAATCCTAGCAACCCAGCCATGACCCAAGAAAGGGAAACTGGCATTTGTCATAGTGAATAAACGGTGGAAAGAGGGAGGGAAGGGGTAGGAAAAGCTGCCTGGACAATGAGCTATCACTCCTCATGATGCTGCAAGTTCACGCTCAAAGCACACACAAGAACACCTCAAATAAAGAGCACATGGAATTATGACGCATGCGCATCTGCAAAAAACGGCTGACTTCCAGAGAATGCTGATGCTCTTTGTTGTAACCTCTGTTAAATTGCATTTAACTGCATTTAAATTTTCCATATCATAGGAAAAATTTTGATCATGCCTTTTTTTTGTGAAGGCTTTATGTTCAGTTGTTCACTCCCTTTTCTCTAACAAATCAGTGCCCATTGATTGACCCTTTACACCCTAACGGCAGTGTGCACATTCTGTGTATTAGTCTTTGTGCATTCCTTATAGCACTAGCATGCAGAATTCAAGAGCAACTTCTGTTAACAATCATTTTCTTTACTCCTGTGGCCTTAATTGGTGCAACTGTGATAGTCAGTTGTGGACAGACTGTATTATCGATCTCATTGTAATTTCTTAAAGTCAAGTTTTAACTGCTGTACCTAATAGCCATCTGCATGAAGGCAATAATAAATTTATTATCATTTAACATGGTTGAAATGCGTAATTGAAGCATCTTTGGAGAAATTGGCGAGTATGACCCAACTGCAAGCACAAAAGAATATGAAAAGAAAGAAAAGGCAAAAGAAAAAGACAGAAAGAAATCCAGGAACTCTAGCAGCTACTTTGAGAAGTCAGCTGCAGGAGAGGATGAGGTATGAATGTGAAACTGATCTTTGCAGTAATTTTGCATTAGTGAATAATGATGCAGCAGGATGAGGTATATAAACATGAAAACATGAGCTGGATATGTCACTGCTGGAAAGGAAGGGAGGGTTTGAAGTGGAGAATTGAGGGTGAATGGAGCTAGGAGAACATTGTACCAGCTAGAAGACCTGAGGGGGCCACTCAAACCAGTTAGAGACCATTGAATGGAGGAAGTTTTAACACAGTATGTAACATTATTTTACTCTGAAAAAAGCGCTCTTCTTCTGTTTGGAATTACACATAGTTTTCTGTTAGTGCTGGTTAGTGCTGGTATTGTGATAAATTTGAATAATTATCAGGGTGACCATAATCATTACTATTTTTATTGCTTCCTTCATATGATTTATAAAAATTATGTTTGATCCATGCGTTCTTTTTTTTTTTTTTTTTTACAGCAACAGTTTAGTAAAAAAGGTAGGAGCTTATTATGTGAATATTTAATTGTTGTTATTTTTCTTTCATAAATTTAGAAGCTTGTTACAAATATTAAATCTATTATTATGTATTATAAATGAAATTGTTTGTCTTACTTCTTTACTTGAATTTTAGCCAAGAGAAACCTGAAGGAGTTAGTTTCTAGACTGAAATGATCATCAAAGCACATAACCTCAATTTATATCATTAATAATTTATCTAGAAAACCATAGGTAAGAACAGACACTTGTCAGCTGGCAGCTGTTGTCCTGATATATCATGGGAGCTTAATAGGAGAATTATGAAATCCATCAGTTCTTGGGGGTTGCATCGCTAATCAGAACTTTTATAGTGAGAATTTTTCAAATCTGTTTTGATAGCAAGTCATTTTTCTCCTTCTATATAGATGTTTCTGCTGAAGATTTTGCTAAGTCAGTCACACAGACATTTGGCAAAAGGGTATGTTAAAGATTTTTCTGTAAATTCTGTATTTTTCAAAAGGACAAAAAAAAACTATTCCACTTTTCATCATTTTTGTAACTTGTCATGATCTTGTTTTGGCAGGAAATGGAACAAAGAGCTGCTTGGGATTCAGTTGATCCAAAGTATCCTGTCAAACAAATAATTTCTCTATTAATGAGACAGTTATTAACAGATGTGATGCAGTACTCTACCAACTCAATCCTTTAACTCCCTGATGAGATTAACATGTAACTTCTCCCTATAATAATTATATCCATACACCATCCAGCCAATAGGTAATTAGAATACTCAAACTTATCAGGTGTAGATTATTATCTTGCTCTAACACCAAATTCTTATAACTAATTTACAAGGAAATGCATCGTAGCCAGAGGGAAGAAATGACAACCAGACCTTGGGAGTTTAGGGTTTAATGTACACATCTTTATGATCACTTGATGAGGATGTAGGAAGTTACAAATAAAATAATTGGAAGACATGTGATAAGAATAAAGAAAAATATCACTTATTAATGATTATTAGTTGATCCAATACCAAATCCTCTGAACTAACATCATAAGAATTTTTTAACAGACAGGAAGGGAAATTAATAATGAGATCTTAATGAAGCTTATAGCCACATTCATTTAAAAGCTTGGACTTTTTAATTTAAAAGTGTTATTTCTTGCGGATTTAACAATATAGTACATTTTTCCAACACTTGGTGATAGTTGAACTTAACTCCTTCAAAGACGAAAGAAAAGAGATAAACATGCACGTAAAGTGAAAGATGCCAATTACATTCCAGATAGCTACTCAGAGTGTTACCCGGGGTAAGTCATTTTATTTTTAAGGAGTTCACTGAGCCAGTCTTGTTCTTACCTTTATGTTGCATTCTGTTGACTACCGCTATGAAACTTGTGTTTGAAAGGTCTATGTTTGAGCTCAGGCCAGGTTCTTGATGCTCAATAAAGTCATGAAATTTGTTCATGATTTCTTTGTTTTGACTGTTCTCTGCCCCTTTGTGCAACTCCATGACAACATTGTCCAAAATTTATGAATTTTTAATTAGTGCAGGCAGTATCAAAACAGGCAATCCCAAGTGGACAAGATGAGGCCCGTTTGCCTAGTCAATCAGAACACAGGATTTGGTTCATCTTGCCCACAGGCGCTGCCTGCTCTAATAATTCAAGTTTTTGACCACGCACAAGGTCAACAAGTAGTATCATGGGAAATTAGATGAAAAAAAAAATGTGTCTAAAAGCATGGACAACAGAAAAAATTTATTTTAGATGATCCCAGTGTTTACAACTATTTATTTGGTACATAATGTTCTTTTTCTTGTCTAGTGCTGTTGATGTGCCCTATGACAGTGATGAGGAGGCAGATTACAGTAAAATGGATTTGGTATGTGATAAGCTTAGTGTTAGTTCCAGTTTCTTCCTTTAACATAAGATGCAAATGGGGAAGAGGTTTGCCTTTGGAATGGATGCCTGTTTTGTCCCCAAATCAACTTGATTTATCAAAAGCAAGCACCTGACATCTATATTTATTTTAAGTAGGACTGGAATCACAATTCACACTTATGTTACCCTAGAAAAAAACTCTTTTGTTGATTTTTTTTTTCTTTTTTCATGTAACATTTAATTTGCATGGTATCAGTTTGGAAAATAGCATAACCTTGAATTTTATTTTGTGATTAAAATATGGAGTCAGAATGATTGAATATTTCCAAAAAAAAAACAGAGCAAGGGAACAGAAAGTTTAAACTGATCCTTTAGAAACAGCTTTATATTGGGAGATTTATGATCATCATACATCTGGATTTGCTCATTTTCAAACCTTTATCTTTTTCTACCAGTTAGTTTGTGATAGCTTTGAGCTCTTCTGGTTCACTACTAATTAAAACAACTGTCACCGTATCAGAAGTTACTCTAAACTTAACTGTCTAATTAAAGTTAATATACATACATTAGATAAAAATAAAAGAGAAATACTGAAATACTTTTGATCTGTTAATAATTCAAGAGTTTTTTTAATTAATGTAAATTTAAAGATGTAATGTTAAAAGTTGACAAAAATGGTTTTGAGAACTATTTGTAGTGGACAAATAAGAATTGAAACCAAACTTCATGAACCCTTTAAATGGTAACAGGATTGTCTGGCTGGAACTTTGCATGGCCGAAAACACTTTGCACCATTTGTTAGTACCTTTCAGTTGCATTCTTTGTTAGGTATTTTGTTGTTTGTTACAATAACTCTCTTTGTAATAATTTATGCACTTTTAATTTACAGAAGTGATTTTACATTGATTGAAATTTATTTTGTATGATTATTTTTTGTTAAATTTGTTTATTTGTTTGTCTGTCTTTTTTTCCCTCAATGCTTGCACATGTTTACTTTCAGTTGTCCACTCTTAGCCCAGTGATGGGTGTTGCAATTTATTTTGACACGAGTTTGATACACTGAGCACATTGAACTTTCTGAGTACTCAAACAACTTTGAAATAAGATAATTTCTAATTGGTTTTATCAGCCGAGTTGATAATGTAAATTTGGACACTGCAGAGAGTTTTGAAAGCTGACATTTTGAGTGTCAGCCCCTTGTCAGAGTGAACATTGAAATAATTCACTGACTAAACTTGCAAAAAAACACAAATCATTGATTTAATGATAACTAATGGTAAAAATGATGATGAAAAATAAACTTAAGCAAAATAAAAAGAAATAACTAAAGGTTTTGGCCAAAAATTCATGTTAAAGTGCATGACAACCTCCTGTTGTTGCCCTTTGTTCATAAGTATCATCCCTTGTCCTATCATAATAAAAAAATTAAAGATAAGTTAACTTCGGTTCAGACACCTTCTGTGAGCCAGCAATACATTTACTAGACTTTTCCCTGCATTATGCTGTACAAAACTCAATTGTTAATTGTTAAAATTAATTGTTGGCAGTGTTTAAATCACCTATATTATGAAGTAACTAAATTTATGTAATGAAACAAATAGTTAAAATGAAATAAAATGAGGTTAACAATCCCAACAAGCAAGAGAGAAACAAATATGTTATTTTTAAAATGGTTTAGGACTTAAGCTAGAGCCTCTAGATTGCAAATTTATTTTAATTGGTGTGACAATCTCATCTTTCAGGGTAACAAGAAAGGTCCTATTAAAAGATGGGACTTTGAGACAGAAGAGGATTATCACAGCTATATGGAAAGTAGGGAAGCTCTTCCAAAGTAAGTATCTTTCATTGTACTTATTGCGCTTTAGTTGATGTCAAAGATGTATCTTTCTGTTGGTTGTTTTAATAGTAACCTAACAATGCTCTGAACTTAATCCCCCCTACTTCAATTGACCAATCAAAATTGACTTAAGTCTCTTTTGTTTGATGCTACTTGAGTAACAACAAGATGAACTGATGAATCAGTTCACACAAAACTGACTAACTGAACAGGTAATCAACTCCTCACTAGATCCTGATGATGACGTCTGCTCAGGTTGTGGAAATGTTAGTTGCTGTCATGTGCAAGAGTCCATGCTAAATCTACTCTCACTGAATGAACAGATGTCATTTCTTGCGAGCTTTTGATCATAGCGATAAATTAATTCCATCCAATTGTTGAGTAGACAATTACTTGTGACAAACTATAATCATAATGAAAATAAGAGGTGAAACTGTTCTTTATGGCTATAAATTTTCAATCCAGTACTTATTTTGAGTCTGCGAACTGTCATTGATGAAAGGTATACTAATGGAGACAAAGAAGAGGGCATATATTAAGAGGTGCTGTGAAGTTAGAGGCTGCATGCTTCACCTTGCCAGACTAACTTTGCCGGACAAAACTTTTATCTTGCAGGGCTGCCTTTCAGTTTGGAATTAAGATGTCAGAAGGACGCAAAACACGGCGTGCGGGACCCAAAGATGAGAAGGCTAAATTAGACAGGGACTGGCAAAAAATCAGTCAGGTACAGCTCAACTCTCTGTACAGTTTCATTTGAATGCACATCAATAACAGAAATTAATCAACAATTTGTTTATTCCCCTATGATCAGTAATCACAAAGTAATTTTTAAAATTTTGTTGAGCAGTAGTAATTATTAGTGACTCATGGGTTACAGACAGCTGATACTTTTCTTGATGTAGCAGAATAATAGGTATCATATTTTCTTTCTCATTTTTATTTTTCATCATTAGATGTTGAGTAAAAGGAAAGGAGACGAAGGGTAAGTTGCCCAAAACTTGGAAAAAGACAAAGTCATGTCTTTTCAAAAAAAGAAACTTTCATTAACAAAATTGATAAATGAAATATGGTGAAGTCTGAACACAGCAAAACAAATCTTACTTTTATGTGGCTCACAAATTGCATACAATAATTGAATGAAATGGAAATTTTACCATCATGACCTATCACCGTTCTATTACTAATAAAGGAAACCTGTAAGGCAACTTTAGCATAAAAGAAGCCCAACTTTAATTGCAGTCATGGTGAATTTTTTTTACTTCTTTTTTAAATTACAAAACAATAAAGCTGTGGCTCCGTGATTAGTTCTTACCTATGATCAATTGGAAGACATGAGCATAGAGTATGTCACCATGAACAACACTTTGCTGGCTGCTTCTTGTGTGCTTTTTTTGTTTTTACTGCATTTTGACATCACCTGTAATCTGTTACCAAACAGACACATGGCAACATGGAATCTATTTGTTAACCCCTTAACGCCCTAGATCTCATTAGTAATTCTCCTTACTGTCTGCCAGACAATTCTCATGATGTTAGTTTTGAGAATTTGGTATTGGATCTACTAATAATCCCCTAATTAATATTTTTCTTTATTCTCATCACTTGTCTGCTTGATATTGTATTGATATTGTAAGGAGAAAGTCTGCCTTGGTCACCCATGGGAGTTAAAGGGTTAATGCTGAACTGGTGTCCAATCTAAGAAAAATTATCCAGATTTTATTATTTAATGAATCAGCCATGCCACAGTGAATGTATTAATTGTAGCTAGTGGTTCAATGAAACATATAAGTATTTGTAACTATTCTTAACCAATTGTCTTTTAGGAAAGGAGACTCGGATGGCAAGAGAAGAAAGCACAGGGATTAAGCAAGTTATAAATTTGGAAGCATCAAGTGCTCAGATTTTTTATTGTGCTCTTCATGTAACACACTCTTGACTGCCCCTTCATTACAGTGTAGAAAGTCTATATTAATTAACTTCTTAAAATAGAACTTTTGGATTGTAAAAGTTTAAACTTTGATTAAAATTTCTATGTAAAGTTGTGATGAGAATCTGGTAGTGATCAACTTGAAGGTAATGCCAAAACAAAAACAACCCATCAGCAGATAAAGTTGTCGATTTTCATCATCTGTTTTCAATGCAACTTATTAAAATCCTAAGGAGAAGTTAAATGCTGTTTGGAAATAGGGGATAAGCTTGGGAGGAGATAGTTTGTGGGAGTTCACCATGTTACGTGGTGCAACTGGTTGGTAAAGAGAAGAACTGTTCAGTTTAGATTCAGTGCTAGGCCATTCTTAGCTGATAGTTTACACTGAAGCAACTCCTTGTAGTCTTTGCAATGTCACCGCTCTCCAAGCTGTGTGATGGTTTAAGTCACCATGGAGAACATAAAAATTGTTGGTGGGTAGATTTTCTGCAAAAGTTACCAATTTGAAGACCTGATTTCCCTACATTGTAGTAATCGTAGCTCTCAGTTAAAGTAAGATAAATCCATGTTAAACGTAATGTTTCAAAGAAAATTCCATTTAACTTTCTGTTTTCAAAGACAAGCAGTGTGGCTAGCAGTCCAGCATGTCAAGCACTATTTCACAATTTTTTTTCTCAGGTGGCAAAAATTTTTTTGTCAAAAAATGATGACTTTGAAAGGTGCTGAGCCTGGAGTTCTGTGTCCTTTTGTAATATTACAGATAGTGCATTAAGTTGGGTACTGCAATATTATAATAAAGTTTGACTGAAATTAGTCTGTGTACCCTCAATTTTTTAGAAATAGTCTTCCAGTGTTTTAGAGTTTGCTAAATCCCTATTTATCTCTGTATGTTGGTTGGAACTGACAGAAAATTGTACTTACACCCAAAATGCAAAAGGTTGACACCTGAAAAGCAGGATCCATGAACCACGAGGCCCATCAGCTTCATAGAAAAAGCTAATACTGCTAATACTGATACTTAATCAGTGATTCACTTTTCTCGCTATGCATGAAAAACCTCTGGTGTTCAGATGATCCTTTTTTTCCAGTTAAGTGTGGATAGATTTAATCACTCACCACATGCATGTCAATGACTTGAGTACACAGAGAGCCATAGGGTCTCACTGATCATTGTAAATGCTTTTTCAGGTGTCAATGATTTAGCTTGTCAACATGGAAAATCCTATAAAGCTGAGAATTTAGAGAGTTTGTCACAGAAAACCCCTAAAAGCCTATTGAGAAAGACATGCCGTTTGTTTTTCCACATGGGATTATGCAAGTGTAGAATGTGTATAGAAACAACTGTTCATAGTCTATTATGTTTCACTAAGACTTTACAAAGTAAAAATTTCAAGAAAATGTTTGAGTACAACTCAATGTTAACAAGAATCAAAAAAGTGTAAAAAATTAAAGAGTTGAAAAACTTCTAATCTGAAATAAATACAACTGTAATTAGGGTGATGCCACGGACAAACTTTGCTTCAATGGAAAACCATCAATACTAGTAAAATCAATCACAATCTGGCATTTCCTTGGTTTGAATTGTCTGTGAAGAGAGCAAAAAGATGTTTTAAATTGTTAATGTATTCAGATTGAGAATACAGCTAAGAGGCCTATCTAGCTAATTCCAGTTTCCTCAGCATGGAGCAACTGGTAATATTGCAACTGCCTCCCCTTCCCCCCCTCCCTCCCCCCTTGATGGGATGCCAGTCCATCACAAGGTTACCCCTCTGATAAGCTTCCCTGACAATTCACCTGTACACATTTATACTCTTGCAGCCTACCTGTAGCCTACCTGTAGCCATACCCTTTTCCCCAAGATGAAATGCCTCTGTTTCACCTTGTGGGGGGAGGGTACAGCTACACCTATGCTAATACTCCTGGGGGGAGAGAGGCAGTACAAAAGTAAATTGCTTTGCCCAAGAACACAACACAATGATCCAGCCAGCAAGTGAATGTGAACCCCCTGAATCAGAGTCCAGTGCACTGACCGTTAGGCCACTGTGTTTCCCTTGATGTATTTAGAATTAAAACTGAAACAGGATGTGGTTTGAACCCAGGAGTGAAAGTTGATTTTGTCACTTGGTTGTCCAGATGAGAGTAATCCTGAGTGAGACTGTTGTCTGATGTGTGTTTTTCACTCAAAAGGTATCTAATAATATTGATACATTCAGATCTAGCTTTTACTAAAGTTAATTTACTTCAGGTTTTGAAGATTGGTTCAGTCAAATTCTCAGGATAAAAACTGTGTCTACATGCTCTACCCAAGTGCTAGATTTAACTGTAAAAATGTTTTGGAAAAGGTCCAGTCAGTGACTGTGACTTTCTACTCATTGACCAAGCTTTAAATCATAGACCTTGAAGACCTTTCCTTCTGAGTCAATTGCTTGCAAAAGTGAAACAATGTATTATGTTTAAACACCTCTATATTAAAATATAAAACACATGTAGTCTGCTAAAAAGACCCGACACTTTCCAGCTAGGCAAGGTCAAAATACCCCACCCCCAGGCATAGACAATAGTAAAAATACCTGGAGGTTGCCCAGGGAAGGATGTTGAAGCTTCCTATTTTTTGGTGCATAACAAATATTAATGAGTTTAACCATGATAGCAAGAGCTATCAGGGTGAGATGTGGTTTTTGTTAAGATTGTAGGTATGAAATAGTATCAACAAGAATGAGCTTTTTGCTTTAAGGCAACTTTTAATCAAGACAGTGACACCAATCAACAATAACAACATTCATCATGAATGTAAACTGTGGGTCACTTGCCATGGTTACCTGTAAGTTATCTTGGCCATATTGAGTAGCCTCCTCGATGCCTTGCAGTTTGGTTGATCATGGTACTTATCAGAATAATAAATGACTTCCTTGATTCCAGCTTGAATGATCAACTTGGTGCACTCATTGCAGGGAAAAAGGGCAACATAGATGCTACAGCCCTTAATGTCTGCAGCATTCTTGTTCAGAATGGCATTCAGTTCAGCATGGCAAACTAAAGAGATGACAAAACAAGATGTTAGACATTTAAATGTCACTCATGTGAGGTATTAACCTTTTGCACCCTAATGTCAGTATCTATATTCTCCAAACTCTTCTCTATACATTTCCATCAGAACTGACCAGGAGAATTTGTTTAACGATCAATGCTTGGGTTGGTGATCATTTCCTTTATTCTCATGATCTTAATTAATGATTTTGCAGTATTATTGTAAGGAGAAATGAGAAGCTAGTCACTCTTAGCTAGGGTTTAAAGAGTGAAATATATCTATAAGTAAGTCTAATGAGAGGAGTTAGACGCAAGCCAGGTGCAATCTCTTATTAAAAGCATTAAGATTTCGTTAAGAAATTGTATTTGCTGACAAAGAACAGCTAGGGGACAGACCAGGGTAATTTAGTATTATCAACTGAGTTGATAATGTAAATTTGCTACAGTAAAGAGTTTAAAAGCTGATGTTTCAAGTGTTAGCCCTTCATCAGAGTGATGGGGGGGATAGGGGAAAGACCAGTTAGAAATTCACAAGTGATAAAGAGTGGTTGTGGG